CTGGGTGTGCCTGGTACTCAGCTGTAAGAGTTCTACCCCTGGAAACCATGTCTCTCTTGGCAGAAGAACCCACATTCTACCTCCGGCTTTCTGTGGGGCTTTCAATAAGCAGGTACTCTTCCTTCGCCCTTCTTTTCCATTTGCAAAGTGGGTACACATGCCAGATTCCCCTCTCGTGCAGTGGTTGTGAGAGTTACATGGTATAAAAGGCCCACCGACCATTTCTTCTCTCCAAACGGTGCAGGTGTCTGGGAAGCGGTGGTGGATATTCTCGATGCTTCGACTTCACCTAAAACATTCACCAGTCCCTGATCTTGTAACTCTTCTTAACCTCAGACCTTCCTTTCACAATGAGGGGCAGCTGGACTAAGTTGATTTTGTGGCCAGGGGCTTACATCCCTTCTGCTTTTTATTCTTGAGCTCCGTCCTCTGACCGCTATCCCGTCACGTTCCAGCTGTCCATGAAAGAAAGCTAAGGTTTCTCATCTATTAGGCAGGGAAGCTTGCCCCTCTCTCTTGCCCCTGCGTACAGCAACCCACCTTTCCTGTCACTTGGGGAGTTTTCTCTCTGTGACATACTTAGCTGAGTTCAGGCGACTAAAACGAAAAACAGGACAGAGAAGAAGGGGAGGTTTGGCAGGAAGTCCAAATAAGCACTTCCTCCCATTCACCTTGAACTTCTGAGGTACCTCAGTTGAACAGCAAAGCAAGAGAATCAAAGCAAAGAGACTTGAAAAAAAAATGAAGAATGAAATTGTCAGCCACAAGGAAGTGGAAAATATTACTGGTCCTTGCCTTGCCAAGGGCAGCTCACTCATATTTTCCTCCTGTGTTATCCATGGATGGGGGAGGTGAGACCAGTGTCCAGGACGGGTGGGAGGGAGCTCTCAGAGACTGTGGAGATAGAGTGAATGTTACCAGAGGACGGGCTGGAATGGGACTGTGCAAGTCCATTTTTACTATCTCCTATTCTACAGCCCCAAGGTGTGCTAACAAGCACTGGTCCTCCCGAGCATCAGTTGCTGGATTCCTGCCCCCTATTCCCTAAACTTTTTGGAAGTATTCTTTGTTCTGCACCATAGTACAGGGTGTCAGGTACAGTGCAGGACCCTCTGGTGACTATCCTTCATTGGATCCTCCGATCAATCGCTTTTTGTCATCCAGAATGATCCCATGAACAGATGTCATCTCTGCTGTCTGCCTCTAAGCATGGGGGGAGGTGGGCTTCCCTTAGCCTCTGCCCTAAGAAGGGCAACATATTCTCATGTATGAAGTCTCTGCTTTCCTCTCTTCTCTGGCCCTGATGTGACAATTCTCCAAGATCCTCCTCCACAGCACATGCAGGAGCAGCAGCTCCCCAGCCAATTTTCTCACCTCTAAAACCAGTCAATAAGAAATGTGGTTATCACCTCTGCCATGTGATTCTGCTGTGGGGTAGAGGAAAAGGGTGGGTGCTGAAAATCTAGGCTTGGTGAAGGGAGGGAGGGAGGAAGGAAGAGAGGGAAGGAGGGAGGGAGGGAGGGAGGGAGGGAGGGAGGGAGGGAGGGAGGGAGGGAGGGAGGACTCAGCCTCCACTGTCTCTGTCCCGATGTTCCAACAGTCAGACAAACTGCAAGCATCGCTTTCTTTCCCACAGCTTCTCAATCCCCATTCTATGAGCCCCCGCCACTGTCCCTGGCTCAGTGCTGTCCTTGTGTTGTTCTTACATGACTTTGAGACATATGGTGGGTCCTCTGTGTCTGCAGACTCTATATCCATGTGTTCAAACAACAGCAGATGGGAAGTATTTTTAAAAATTTGATCCACACTGAATGTGGATAGTTCTTTTTTTCCTTGCCATTATTCCCTAAACAACAGAGTATCACAGCTACAAACGTAACATTGGTATTCTTAGGTATTATCAGTCTGCTAGAAATGGCTCAAAGTATGTGAGAGGGTGTATATATATTATGTATAAGAACTGTCCCATTTTATATAAGGAACTTGGACTCAGACAGATTTCAGTACCTATGAAAGATTCCGGAAGCAATCTCTTGCTTTGGCTAACTTTTCAACTTGTTCCTTTGTAAACACTGGGTTTCTCTACCTGGTTAAGGTCGAAAGAGATAGGGTGGGACCAGATGCCCCATCCAAGAGGCTTCCTTGCTTCTACTGCTGGGCCTTGGCTGGTCCCCACCTGCTACTCTGCTTCATGCTCAAAGCCAACAGAATGATACCTTGATGTGAAGTGAGGTCTTGCCATCCTGGTACCACTGCTGTCTTGGGACAAATGCGAAGGCCTGCCCATTTTACATGTAAAGAGACCTAGTCTGGAACAAGTGAGATGACATACTGTCACACGCATTGTCCTGGGCTCCTGAGAGCTGCTCTTCAGAGCTGCCCTGCCTTGGGAGTTTCTAGAACACAGGAGATGTGAAACCTAAAATTATTGGGAAATCACCCAGAGATAGGAAGAGGACAGTCTTCAGGCCTGAGGCAAAACACTTCCCCTTTCATAATCTGCTCTCTCTTTGCCCGGATGCTTTATCTGAGGTATGGGTCTGTGGTCCGCTGGGCAGGGATCAATTTGAAAAACATTTGAAATCAGCAGCTCACCAGCTTTTTGTGGGCTGCAGACCATAAGCTGTACCCGTGAACATAGGGGCTACTGTACAGGCTCTGCAGACAGACCTAGTTTGAACCCTGACTCTATTCTGGGCATTGTCAAAACATCTTAGAACCTTGAGGAGGTAAATGGTAAGGGACAGTGGCTCTGGACTCAAGCACACTCTTGACAAGACTGGGATGCACAACCTCCTTGAGGGAAATAGGAAGCAAGCAAACGGTCCCCGTGGATTGCTCATCTTGGCCACTTTATTGGATAATTTTTTCCAAGGGGTGTCATATTTAACAATATTTTTATTCTATCTTCTGCTTTTCTGTTGTTGGTTTTTACCCTGAATTGGGTCAACAATATTAAAAAACACAATGCTGACCCCCCCAAAAAAAACCACTATTGCTTTTACTTTTAAGAATCATCTGGAATGTTCCTTTCCACAGAAGTTCTCTATTCTGGGACTTTAATTGATTGATTGAGGTCCAGAATCCTCACCTATCCACTCCGCCCTCCAAGGCCCTGCCTAAAGCCCAGTTCATCCCATGATGTCTTCTTTACTCTACTTGAAAGTGATTTCTCTCCATGATAGGTGCCATGTTGCTGATATGAAAAATGAAGTAATGTCTCTCACTAGTTGGGGAGCTTTGGGGCAGCAGGGCAGTGGCCCATGGGGCATTATCAGTTGTTGAGCACTTAATGTTGAGCACTTAATCCTGGGTTGATGCCTCCTGCAGATCACCATCATGGACCACTTTCCAGGCCTGGGTTTGGTACTTCATCTGTATCTCATTTAAGCTCACAAGCAGGTAATGAGACAACTACTAGAGGCAGTGGGGCTTCCTGTAGTGTGTATAAAATGGAAAGCATTCATGGCTAAAGCTACCATTGAAAAAGCTTCAGGAAGAGCACCTCAAATAGCAATAGAGAATTATTCAAACACTGGAATAGGAATCTGTGCACATGTATGAGTCTGTGCATTCCCATATATGCAGGCATGTATGTGCATGTGCATATGGTACACTGGCTAACTTGTGTTTACAGGTTGCCATATTGCACCAGATATATTTGCTTTTAGCCTCAGGTCTCACTCACTGCCAAGGATTGTTTCAGTCTATGAGATCTGTTCAGAGTTGGAGACTGAAGGAGGATGCAACAGATCCCCATCTCCTATCTCCAGGGAATATACTCTTTGGCTAGATATATGACTCAATAGCAAATGGGAGAAATGATAGTAGACAGAAGATAAGGAAGGAAACACAGTGTATAGAAGGTGTGCCATCAATAATAACAATTTTTTAAACTTTGTATCTGTGTGTTTGCCTAGCAAAACTAGTTACCTAGACTGTCACTGAAGGGACTCACGCTGGCCCAAACATGGCAAACATGGCTGTGGCAGGCCTTGCCCTTCTCCCCCATTCCCTCTGCCTTGCTAAAAACTGTTAGATTACATTCCTAAAGCTAGGGCCACTTCCTCCTCCTGTGGCTGACTACCGAGGCCCAACTATCAAAGTCTTGAAGTCCAGCAATCAAAAGCCCCCTTTGGCTCACCTAATTAACATGCCCAATTAAAATTAAACACCTCATCCTAACACAGGGTTTCCCTTTTCCCTTTATAAACCGCCATTTTCCTATAGACCAGGTCTGTCTCCTCTCTATCCAGAGGCAGTCCTTTGTACCCCTCTGGAACAAATACCCGACCCTCTCTCCCTTCTCCCTCACCCTCTATCTCAGTCTTTGCCTCGTATTCCCTGATCTTTGTCCCTTTGGGGTAGGTAAATATCCTTTGTCCTGAGAACTTGGTCTTGGGTTGTCCTGAGCTGAAACTGGTCCCTTCAGTCACTCCATGCCCAAGACTACAGTGCAGAAACCTTCCTATCAGGAACGGAGCTGGTCCACTGCACCCTTTGCCACTCGGAGCCTAGCTGCCTCACTCACCAAAGACCCACTCATCATAACACAAAGAAGCAGCTGAGGGCGTCTCAGCTTTCGATAAAAACAAACTGGGGAGGGGGAGGTTGGAACACATGAAGAGACCATCTTCCTTCCCCCACAGTTCACTAGTGAATGAAATTATAGATAATTTTAAGGAACTGTCAAAAGAGACTCTTATCTGCATAGTCCCAGTCATGCAGGAATGTGGTGTCCAGCTTTGGGTGTCTAGAATTCAGATGGAAAAAAACTACTTGAACTGAGTTTAAGTCCCCATTTGCCTGGGGTGTCTGGGCCAGTGGGGAATTACCAGTCTCTCTCTCTCTCTCTCTCTCTCTCTCTCTCTCTCTCTCTCTCTCTCTCTCTCTCTCTCTCTGCATTATGAGCCCACAGAGCTGGTCTTCCTTGTTTACTTATTTAGAAGTCAGCAGAGGAAGTGGTAAAGGAAACTAGCTGAGTCGTTTTCTGAGAAGAGACCATATTTGTTCACAGGGGAAGCCACCGCTTCTTGGGATCTGGCTACAGCAGAAAAGACGCCTGTTCAACAAGGGTGTTCCTGAGCGTAGTTGGGGTTCGAAAGAGCCAAGGACACCTCGGAGTTCGGGATCTGGGTTTTTTTTCTCTGTTCATGGCTGCAGCAGCTCTCCTCAGCTTGTGAGCTTCTCCCTGAACAGCAACCATGGCCTTGAAGAACGTGCCCTTTCGCTCAGAGGTCTTAGCCTGGAACCCAGACAGCCTCGCTGATTATTTCAGGAAGGTGAGTCTTTCACTCTTATGCTTCTGTTTGAGCTGGTATGCCTTCAGTGGGGTGGGCAGAGAGTAGAGGCAGAATCTGGACAGAATATGGAAGGTGTACAAGATAGCCTCAGAGTTACCGTTACCACCTGCAGTTGCTACCTTACTGGGAGGCAGACGGACTACTGAGCTTTCTAGGCAACATGTCCAGTAGAGAAAGATAGGAGAGGGGACCCTCACGTGCATAAGCCCCTAGTACATACATAAGCCCCTAGTACATACAGACATGCATGTAGTGCTCCACAGACTGTGTCCTATTAGACACAACCCACTGTAAGGTGAGCTCCGTGTTACCGTGTTAATGATGTGCACTAACAGTGTTGCATCTCAATGTCAATATTTTGTTCAGCTGAAGAGTCAGCTCAGGGAGTTTGAGTGATCCCAAGCTCTTGAGTCTTATATGATGGGGTTGGATTGCAGTTGTGCCTACTTAGCTTTAAAGCACATGCTCTGAAATGCAGAGAATGGCTATATTGACGTCTACTCACTAGAAAAGGAGATATGGAGTCCCAGAGTAGGAAAATGAACAGGCAGGGCAGGACGGATGGACAGAGGGTTAGATGAACAACAATATTTGGGCATCCATTGTTCATGATCCTGGAAGAGGGCTAGTGTCTTTTTATTGGTTGGAGCTTTATGAGAATCCTTGAAAGCAGGCCAGAAAGCAGACATGAGCCTCAGGATAGTTAGTGACACAAAGAATGAGCTCAGCAAACTCAGAAATTAAGATGACCACAGTGTTACTGTCCTGCCTTCTAGGCTGGGAGGAGATGGTCAAGGGTCCTTGTTTGGTTATCTGCTAACGAGGACCACATGTCTGCTTAGGTATATCCCAGGACACATGACTCCTCTAAGGCAGCTGTACAGAAGAGGTAGGAGGTCTTATGAAAGACAAGGGCTTCCATTGTCCCCATGCCTGCAGACCGGCCTCCAGTTCCACTGATATTCCAGGCAGTGATGAAGATGAGGGAGGTCCTAAAGCTAAGACCATAGAAGTCATCTACTTTGCCTTCTACTTTTTCTGAAGAAATGGGGACACAAGGGGTAGAAGAGGATCCTTGGGGTGTATAATCAAACCTGTAATATATACAGTAGTTCCTTCCCAACCTACAGAAGAAAATGTGAGCATTCTGTATTAAGGAGACATGGTAGGAGCACGACCCCAAAGATCCTGCCCTTTGCCACTTTTTGTAAATCTTGTTTTGGGTGGAAATATGATTAGACAATTGACTTTTTGAAGCGTGGTTTTTTTGTTGTTGTTGTTGTTGTTTTGTTTTTTACTACTTTTCTTAACTAAAAATGAAGTAAGTTAGGGCAGAAAGGTAAATTTGCCACGGTGGAATGAAGTAGTGAATTCTTTCAATAGAGCAATGAGAAAGGAATTGAGAATTAAGGCAGGGAAGTCTGGGGAGGGACCGAGAGGCACAGAAAGGCCCCATGTTCTAGTGTAACTAGGATATTATGTAATCCTGTGGTGCCACAGAGAGTGTGCAGGTCCAGCTCCCTGAAGCACAGGGTGGGCCTTAGGGAGGCCAAGTACACATCGCTCTGGTTGAGTTAAGGGAAAGGGGAGTTTCTTCTTGGGGATCATGGAGCTTAGTCAAAGCCACATCCCAGAGACAGGCCTCACCTTCCGGAGGGAAAGGATCAAGAGTAGGAACAAGGAAGCTGAGGAGGAATTGGTAATCCTAGAAGGACCAGCCCCTTCCACAGACACAGATGAGACCCTTCAGACCCCGAGCTCATTGGTCCCCAGCAAAAACACTCTGTGAAATGAACACAGAGTCACGTAAGGATGCTCTTGGATGACAGTGTGCCATTTAAAGGACTGGTCAGCAAGTTTATGTCTCCAGCAGCAGTCAAGTTGGGCTACTGAGACATCTACCCAGCTCTGGAGGCATACCTTGGTTTGAGTTGTGCCCTTTCCAGCTAGCCTGGGGACTTACTTTCCTTCAGTCACTTTGCTTCTCTGTGCCTCAACTTACCTAAATAGTAAAACAGAGGTATTAACAGTAAGTAACCAGATGAGAAGGAGATGAGGTTGAAAGGAAATGTGTGTGAGGCATTGAGTTCCATGTTCTACCTCACCTTTATCCTGCTTTTCTAAGCAGAACCTGACTGGGGAGGTTGAGGCAGGCTAGTGAGGCTTTTTGACATATTGCCTGAGATATGTGTGCCTTGCCCTGTACTGGGGATGGAAACCATGGGGATTAAGGCCATAGTCTGCCTGTCCCTAACTCCTCCAATTGGCTCAGGCCTAGCAGGAGATTCACTGGCTCATAGCCATGTGTTATAACCCTGTTGGGTTTCTACCTCACTGTGTGACATCACTACCTCACTACCTCACTGTGTGACATCACTACCTCACTACCTCACGGTGTGACATTACTACCTCACTACCTCACTGTGTGACCTTCTTCTCTCTGGGTCCCAGTCAACATCATCTGCAAAGCTGATAACCACTTGGTCAGGGCCAAGATTGGTATCTTGGGTGCTAATGGAAATCACTTAAGGTGCTTGTTGAAATACAGATTTTAGGTCCCACAACTCAGATCTTACTGGACTGCATCAAGTATTGAGGTTCAAGGCTAGACCTCTAGCTTTGGTTTGGAGTCAAGGCCGGTACTCTGCGGAACTGGCAATTCATCCGATAGTGACGGTGGTGACATGGATTAAAGGAAGCTGGCAGTTCCAAGGGTCCACTACACACCCTGAGTGTGGGTCAAGGAGACAGCAGCATGCTGCAGGTGCTGCCTGCCCACGACATCGACCTATAAATCAGCTTCCCAAGTGTGATGTTCATTCTGTCCTTCTAGACTAGGAGGTGACAACAATTACATTTTAAGATTATTATTGAGATGGGTTCTTGAAGTATAGCCCAGGCTGCTCTTGGACTGACAACAATCCTGTCCTCCTGCCTCACTCTCCTGGGTGCTAAGATTAGAGGGGTGTGCCACCTCCCCCCAGCTATATTTACTTTTCACATTTTTGGGTGGGACAGCGTAAGATAAGAAATTGATTTTAAAGTTTCCTTCAAAGAAGGTTGAACTAACTATTTGTGAGAAGAATATAAGGTCCTCAGAGAAAAATGTGTTTCCCTTAACTACACCAGACAATCTTGGAGGTATTTCTGATGTGAAGTTTTGTGCTATTGAGGACAAGGTGAGGTGGGTGCACCACAGTCATAGGTTAGCCTTGAAAATTAACCAAGACCTTACAGGCACTTACCTCTGCTGATTCTATCACTCTGTTCAGAGAATTTGACTCCAACAATTCAACTTACATAGAAAAAGTTAGGCAGAATGGCATCCACTGCGCAGTATATGCTATCTAGACGGTGCTTTCGGGTGCGTTCCTAATCACTCACTGTGTGCACTTATGTACGGGACGTTTTTACTTAAAGACTATTCTTCATGGAAACACTAAAGCCCAGTTCTGAAGCTCAGCTGTCACCTATGTCACCTTCCACTGATGCAAGCTTCTTAGCCCTCTGTGTCTCTCATCCTTTACCCATGTAACTGGAGGATTAAGTGACTTGGGAGCAGGGCCTGCCGCCTGCAGAGCATCCAGTGAGTGGGAGCAGGGCCTGCCGCCTGCAGAGCATCCAGTGTGTGGGAGCAGGGCCTGCCGCCTGCAGAGCATCCAGTGCTAACTAGCAGCTGCTGGTCTCACTGCTGAGCTGGCAGCCAGGGAAATGACCTGAACATTCAGTGGTTAAAAATTATGGGAATTATTTAGTAAACAAGGTCCTCGACAAAACATTTAAACCAAGTTTGTCATAGTTCCAGACAATGTTTTCTTGTTGTTTTAGGTCATTTAAGAGAAAAAAAAAAAGTCATCGTAACAAGACTGAACATGAGTTGATTCCTCCCTCGTGCTCAGAAATGGGCCAGGCATAAATGACTGATGTGGTCACTAAGATCGTCTTTGGGGACACAAGACAGGGGCTGGGGTTTGGATTCCTCTGTCAGTTCCTTTCTGCTGTCCTTACTACGATGTGGCCACTCTTCTTGAGCCTTGAAGACAGTGTGTTTCCAGAGGTTCTGGTCCCATGGACTAGAGTGCACAATTTCTCCATTTCAGACAGTCCCGGGGGGGTGGGTAGTGAAAGTATGACTAAGGTGAGGACCTGGCCCCTCTGTTAGACAAAGGATCAGGAAGGGGCTGGCTAGCCACAGGTACCACAGATTGCTAAGCTCTGGAGGAGGCAAAGGGGGACCACAGGAGCCCGTGGCACTGACGGCACCTTGTGCTTCTCTGTGCAGTTGAACTACAAGGACTGTGAGAAGGCGGTCAGGAAGTACCACATTGACGGCGCTCGGTTTTTGGTAAGTTTTGTCCCGTCCCATACACTGAAACAATGCTTTGCTTGTGCGTTCAGACAAACTGTCACTATCCCTAGTCATCCCTTCTGGGCACTTTGCTTTACTCTTTAACAAGGGAAGAAAATGAATTTAAAGGTCTCGTGGGAGATGTTCTCAGATTCAGAGTGAGAAGGGCAAGCAAATTGCATGTCTCTACGTCGTAGCTTTGTGAAGCTTGACCATGAGACTTGAAGCCAGTTGAAAGGGACCAAGATGCCATTTGCTGCAGCTTGCTACACCGCACACCAATCCATTTCCTATACTGCATCCCTGCCCTACTCTGCTTCACCTTCTCTAGTGATGGTGAGCTCACTACCACCTGCAATTGTCTTCCCCTTTCCGGGAACCTCGGAAGTCTCATGCTGAGTGAGATGAATGCCTTTTCCATCCTAGATAATGTCACGTGCTGGGGACAGAGGAATCATAAGATATGAGATTCCTGTCTTCATGAAACTGTTTTTAGGAGAAAGATACCTACCTCCATGAACACCTTCAACAAGCTCATTTACAAATGAGGAAATAGATGCAGAGATGCGGTGATTTTTGTCTTAAGTCACAAATTTAATGACTAAACTGAAGCATGACTTTAGCTTATTCTATACTGTCTGGGTTTTGCTGTTGTTTTGTTCATAGTGAGCTTTGAATGAAGAGAATTCCCTAAGTTTTATTGTTGCTGCTCGTATGTTTCATTCTGATGCTTTCGCACTGAGAAAACAGACACCACATTGGGTACAGAGAGAGGGCAGCATCTTTGAAGAGGGTCCTGGTTGCCCTGCTGTCCTGGCTCATCTTGAGTAAGCATCTGTCCTTTGTCCCCAATGCCCCTCTGCTTCATCCTCTGCTGATGGAACACACTGTGCAGGGTCACAGTCGAGAATAACAATGGCACTTCTCAGCTATGTGGCTTTCATGTGAGTGCCAGGCTTGAACTGACTTGATAGGACCGTTGTTTCCTTGCTTGAGAGATGGTATCTGAACAGCCATCTCCTCTGTTCCATCTCTGGGACCTCTTGGCCCTTCAGAGAAATCAGCCCGGCCTCCTCACCCTCTGAACAGGGGGGAGTACAAAGGGGGCAGGAGCAGCCTGAGAACAGGGAGTAGAACCCAGTGCCTGCCCCAGCAGCTGGGGTATTCTGAACTGCACTGTGCTCTGGGTTGGCTTTGGAAGTCTTGACCCGAGCTCCAGTTACTCATCTCATACCCTGCTGGCTCTGGAACATCCAGGACTAGTCTGCTATTGAAGGGAACAATGTTTGCTATCCTCTCTTCCCTCCTCCTTCCCCTCTCCTTTTCCTCACTTCTTCTGTTTCTTCTTCCTTTCTTCCTTCTTCAGTGTGTGAGCTAGTAGACACCCCCCCCATCTGTCTTAATGACGCGTTTGTTTAACATGGAGAAGAATGGAGTCTTGGGGTCTTTTCTGGTGAGAAATTGAGATGCTGTACTTTGAAAAGGTATAAGAAAAGGAGGGATGTAGTTGATGGGTTAACTGGGAATGTGTGTGGTCTTCCTCAAGTAGTAAGACATGTACAAGTGGACACGAAGGACTGAGCGACTTCTGGAGGAAGCCCTGAACTTAGGCCCCATTCAGTCTATGGAAAGCCTGGGGGTTTTGTGCTAATCACTCCAAGCTGGCTATTCCACCTCTAGGTTTTATATACATATTATATATATATATATATATATATATATATATATATATATATTATATATATATAAACTTATGCATATATATGTGTAATAGGCAGAGGAAGAGGGGAAAGGTAGAGAGTAAAGGGTGCATGGTGCTTGGTGAATGTGCCCTTATCCCCTTTGTAAAAACAAAAAAAAAATGAAAAATAACCATTATTCTGGAGATCTCATCCAGTAGACTGCAGATTACACCTTACTGGCCACAAGTGAGTCATGTGACCCCACCATCTCCAAGGTAACCTGGGGAGTTAAATATTTTGCACAAACACATTTCCCGCCCTGAACCAGATTCAGGTTCTGACAGTAAGGAAGATGGAAAGAACGGACACTGGGAGACAAGCGGTCCTGTCTGGCCCCTTGCTTCTCTGCCAGGGCCTGGTTTGTGGCTATCCTGTCTATGGACCTCTTTTCTGAACTCAGCATATAATCATGCTTCTAAAATCCATAAATCTAACTCAATGAAGTTTAGCTCAGGATTGCTGGAGGGTTTTGAAAGAAAGGGGGAGGGAGTTCTATCACAAAGCCAAACTCCCAAAGCCTGTTTCAGCATTTCTCATCTTCCTTCCCAGTCATTGTCCATGGTGTAGAAGACTTCATCCTCCCAACATCCTCCTCTTCTGTCTCCAGTCACGGTCATGCATACCTTCTCCTCCATCTCTTCCTCAGCTTTCTCAGCTTGTGTCCCCCTCTCAGTCACTTCCAGAGTGTCCCTCTGGAAGACCCCAAGATGCCTTCAACTCATCATGCCATACTCTGAAAACCGCCTTGGCCGCCCGTCCACCTTCCCAGTATAAGGCTGTTCCTTCATCCTTTCACAATAACTCAGGCGGCCTGACAGGGGCCTGGTCAGAAAACGCACCACACGTTAATAAAGGCTGGACCTGACGTTCCAACAAGCACCTTGCCAAGATGCCTCCGTCTTAGCTCCTCTGATGACATTAGCCCGGAACTGCCCCCTTCCCATGCAAAACCCTGCGGTCAAAATATAGTGAGGAGGCTGCCAAATTTTGCCCACGAGACAAATTCTGTTTGGTTTCACAGATTTTCCTCATGTTTGTTTATTAAAGTCATTTTTGTTTATAATTCAGGAAATTTTTATGTAAGATTCCAACTTCAGGGTTCCCTTTGAAAAAAGTAAACCTAAGGGTGTTGGGATGATGATGGTTCTCTGTCATTCCCTCCTGAGCACCTGATCAGGGCCCCTCCTGTGAGTTTTAACCTGCCTGCCCTGTGTGTCTCTTCTTTCCAGAACCTGACAGAAAATGACATCCAAAAGTTCCCTAAGCTGAGGATGCCGTGAGTACACCCCCTGGTGGGCAGCAGGATGGGGAGCAGGTTGAAATAAAGACCTGTTGAGGGGAGACTGGGTTAGGTGTACATTAATGTAATTTTAAATGGTAAAATTGGGCAGGGAGGTTGAGGACAATAGTAGAGCCTGGGGAAGAGGAATCCCATGGTGATCTGGAAGGATTAACAGATCCAGTCAGTCATGCTAGGAGTTGGTTCTTTGTCCAACACAAACTCCCAACACTGGATTGTGTGTTTCAATTCCCGCCTTTTTGAAGGATAGCTCGGGCCTATGAGCACAGTACCAAAGTCAAGAGACCCTATGGTTTCATCATGATGTCTTTTAAAAGATTATTTCATGTTAAAATTATGTTGGTCTGTGTGTTTGCATGTGGGTATGTGCATGAGCATAAAGATGCGGTTTAGGCCAGAAGAATGTGTCAGATCCCCTGGGACTTGAGTTACAGGCAGTTATGAGGCACCTGATGTGGGGGCTGGGAGCAGAATTTGGGTCCTCTGTAAGAGCAGTACATGACCTTAACTGCTGAGTCATCTATCTAGCTCCTCGTGGCATCTTCATTGACTCACTGGTTTAAGATTTCAGGACCTCTGTTTCTTGGTTAATAAAATGAACATGAACCCAAATAAATGACAGCAAAGGAGATCGTTTTATCTGTCGATACTGATTTCTTGGGATAGCTGCTATTGGTGTAATGTTAAGAAGAATGTTGAGGAAAAGAAGCTATAATCGATTAGTAATGTCTACCCTGGGTGCTGAAATGGGAAGCAGCGGTGTGCATATTGTGGCACGTATTTGTCATTGTCCTAGTAGAGACCTAACAGGCTCAAATACAAAGGCCAGACAGGTGATATAAATGTACAAAGTAGGACAGGTTGCAAACACAAATTCCCATTGATTTATCTTTCTTTTTGTTATCATTGAATATGAGTGTCTCTAGAGAAATATTTTTACACTAAAATAAAAATAGGAAACTATGATTTTAAAGACAACCAATAGAAAGGTTGATTGACGGTAAAACAGTAGGGGGTAATGTTGGTTATGGCAAATCACATATCACGTGTTCCATTCTAAGAGCCCTATAGCTACTCAGCTCTAGCCAATGTGGGCCCAATGATGGCCAATCTTTAAATTGATCAAAAAATAGCTAGAAACATGAGTTCCAATGTTTTATGTCTCAATTTTTCAATACTGACTCAAATGTTTTTAGACATTGTGAAAATCAGCATAAAGCTACATATGAGTTGGATTTGCTCTTGGTGCTACTGGTTTGAAACATCTACTTTGGGCATTCCCTAGAATCCCTTCTCTTGTTCTAAGGGCCTTAGACTGCATAATGATAAAAAGAAAGTATCCCAAGAAAGTAGGAAGCTGGAAGATTTCTTGGGTATGTAGGAAATAAGGAAAATACACTTAGCCTGGCTATTTCTTCTTTGTCCAGAAAAGTGAATGTAGCTGAAAGCTTTCCTGTGTCCTGTAGCCGCCTAGTCCCAAATAAACACACAGAGGCTTATATTAATTACAAACTGTTTGGTCTATGGCTCAGGCTTATTGATAGCTAGCTATTACATCTTAAATTAACCTATTTCTTTTAATCTATGTATCATTACATGGTTTAGTGGTGTTACCTGTTCTCTGACATGTTCCTCCATCAGTGGCTCCTGGGAGTGCTCTTGACTCTACCCTTCTTCTCTCTGTATCTCTGCTTGGATTTCCCACCTGGCTCTTATCCTGTCTTACCATTGGCCAAAGCAACTTCTTTATTAATCAATGGTGGCAACACATATTCACAGCATACAGAAAGACCATCCCACAGCAAATAAAGGAAATGAAAGCATTAAGAGTTCACCCTGTGGCTGCCTATCTTTGTTAGAGCTCCCTAGAATTTTTTTTGTAAGCACATATGGCTGATTCAGTTTTCGTTAAATCTAAGATCCAGTTCTACCAGCCCACCAGACATATTTCAGTAGCTACAGGTATGTGGTGACTACTATAGTAGTCTCTCTTCATTCATGTTTTTGCTCCCCATGGTTTCCACTACTCATGACAAACTGCATCTGAAACACAGTGAAATAAAATACAGAGAAAGCAAGAGGAGAAGAGAAGGGGAGAGAGAGAGAGAGAGAGAGAGAGAGAGAGAGAGAGAGAGAACGAGAGAGAGAACGAGAGAGAGAGAGAGAGCGCACGAGCATCCACATAGCTTTTATTTTACAGTATCGTAACGGTTGCTCTATTTTCTAATCAGTTGCTGTTGTTAATCTCCTACTGCACCCAGTTTATAATTTGGCCTTTCTCAGAGGTATGCCTTCATAGGCAGAATCATCATATATATTCTATCAGAATCAGTACCACCTATAGCTTCAGGCATGTCTGCTGGGGGACCTCCTGTGGACAATGGGTGGTGGTGACTTTATATAAGAGTATGGGCACAGGACAGTCCCACGAGTGCATGAATGAGTTCTGTTAAAAGTCAGACACACGGGAGGCAGAATTGTCAGCCACAGACTTGGCCTTAGATACTTTAGGCTTTGGTCATTGTGTGTTTTAAAAATCATCAAAAGTTTCACAGAATCTACTTTCTCTAAAAAAAAAAAAAAAATGGAAAGTATAATTCTAGGTCTACATTCTATTGTGACAGCAGTCAGGCGAATCTGATGTCCATTTAAGTAGGATCCATTCTTATCAGTTTACCTTAGATCTCACCAATAGAAACACAGTGGCAACTCTTATGCTAACCCTCAGCTTCCAGTCTCCAGTCCAGGGCAAGGAGAGCAGGGAACCCCTGAGTCTGATGGATCCTCAATTTGAGGAGCCAGAGTAAAGACTCTAGGAGATAGAATCCATTAGAGGAGAGAGCTGGATAGAAAAAGTCCTGGAAAACTTTCCAGGGTCCCTCTCTAGTAGGGTGCTGCTCAGCCTGTGCATTGGAGGAAGCCTGTGTCTGACCACAGACCTGTCTAATCAGAGAAGTAACAAAAGCTACAGGGTTGAACGTGGCACCTGTTTTTAGCAGTCAGGTGTCAGGGTGCCTAGACTCAGTCACCAAGGAGAGTGCGCAGGAAGTCTTTGCCTCCGAAAAGAGGAATGATCAGTCCTAATCTGCAACCTATTCTGGCTCAGCCTGGTGAACCTTACAAACAAGGCAGACACGATGCAGACTGTTTTCAAGCAATTCTACTACATCCTCCAACAAAACATGAATGTGCAAAAGCATCCACGATCAAACAAAAACACAGTGTGCAGTTTCTAATCAGTAACAGGCAAGGACATAAACAAGAAAATACGACCCGATGGAAAAAACAAATGTATTAAAACTGACCCATGACTGACCCAGATAGCGGGATCTATCAAAAAAGAGCTCTGTAGTATCCAAAGTCAAGCTGAGGTACAGGAAACAAACAGATCTGCACAGAACTGCTCAAGATGAAAGTGTCTGGGATGAAGGGTAAACTGCCATGGTTTCACCAGAAACTAGGCTTTGCACATCAGTGTGCTAGCTACGTCTCCGCTGCTGTCATCAACGTTATAACTGACAGTAGCGGGGGAGGAAGGGCTTATTTGACTGGCAGGTCACAGTCCATTATCCAAGGAAGTCAAGGAAGGAGCTCAAAGCAGGAACGTGGAGGCAGGAACTGAAACAGAGACCTCTGAGGGACAAAAAAAAATTGCTTACCAGCTTGCTCCCAGGCTCACATTCAGCTACCATTGTATACTTCCCAAATTCATCCTTTCCCAGGGGTACCACTATCCATGGTGTGCTGGACCCTTCTCCACCAATTAGCAATAAAAAAAAATGCCCCATATTCTTGCCTACAGGCAATTTCCTGGAGACGGTTCCCCAGGTGAGGCCCTCTTCTCTGGTATCTCTAGTCCATGTCAAGTTGACAACTAACCAACCGAGTCATTGAACATGAACACAGAACCAGAGAAACTACCTAAAATCAAATGGAGGGGAAAGTATTGCACAGCGAAGATCATCAGGGAACTGGGGGATGGCTCAGGGAGAGAGTGCTTACCTAGCATTCCCGTGGCTCTGGGTTTGCTCTCCAGTGCTGGAAGTGGGCAGAGCATCCTGCAACTGTGGGGCCACTGCAACTAGCTGAATGTGCAGAATTATGGTTCCCAAAAGATGTGCCTGCTGAGAGGAGAAGATACAGAGATAAATGACATCAGGAAATAGCAGCTGAGACACTCCCAAGTTGGATAAAAATTGTTAAGTTAACGGATTCAAGAGGCATCACAAACCAGTTCACAGATTCAAGAGGCATCACAAACTGTAAGCCCAAGAAACAGACGGGCCACTGCTCTGTGATACGTCACCATCAAATTTCCCAAAAAACAACTGACTAGAAATAAACAGTGAAGAGAAAAACCACCCATGTAGTCAGAGAAGAGAAATCACATCACACCCTGAGGAGTGACTGAAGATGGGGGGGGGGCAAATTCTGTCAGAAACGATGTCACCAAGAAGACTCCTTAAGTCCAGAAAGGGTGAACAGTTTCAAGACCAGCCCCCAGTGATGCGTTATTTCAGAAATGAAAGCAAAAACCTTAACCAGAGTGCCTTGATTTGGTCTTCATTATATTTACTGCTACTGCCCAAATGGTAATCAAAATGATGCCTTAATAATTAATTGTGAAATTCATGAGAAAGTTAGAAGCCTCAAAAGACGTTTCTCTTTGGTCAGAAGACAGGCATGCTAGGAGTGGTGGTGGGGGGGGTCATGTGAGCAGAGTCCCATTGTTGTATTTTGCTCTGATGTGGTGTTTGCTCAAGTTTCTCATCGTCTAGAACTGTGCCCAGCATACAATAGGCATTCAATAAATGTGTGTTGTCCAACCACTGACAAACACAGGTAAACTAGGATATTTTCAGACATATAAAGTCTGAAAGAACTTATTAGAAATGCTGAGCCACACTACAACAACTGTTAGAGAAAATCTCCCCAGAGGAAGGAAATGGCACCCACTGCTAGTGTGGATCTTCATG